TCTCCTTTCACACTTATATAAGTCCCTGTCTGGTGAGTTCAGCCAGAATGATTCAGACTGACATTTCCAAATTAAATTAGAAGTCTGTGGATTTTAAATGGACAGTCTGATGCTCAGGAACTGTGAACCTTTGACTTTGAAATGCACTTTTCATTTTTGGCCTGATGTAGTGTAAGCTTGTTGGAATGCAAGTCCCAGCAGAAATTTATCTATTTACTCATGTTGGTTTTCAGGGGATAATTTCAGGGAAATCAGGGGATTTCAGGGCAAGGGAGTTTTATCAAAATTAATTGAACTGGATAGAGTTGATGTAAGTGGATGTTGTAAACATTGTGGAGCGTTTTGGCCTAGGGGGCACCCTAAGTACATTTTTGCAGTTAGAAAATAAATACAGGAATGATTTTAAACATTATCTGGGACTGAACAGTCATGTTGTCTAGCAAAGAAGACATTCAGCTGACTTCTTATTCACTGTTTGGGAGCATCCCCATTGCCATGAGACCAAAATTTGTCTTTGGGGTTTGCAAGAGAGGAAGGTTTCTTGAAGAAACGTTCAAGATTTGCCCTCTCTGTAAGGAATGGAAACCAGCTGCCTTTGACTGTTGCATACCACTGCTTGGAGGGCACAGGCTTGTGGTAAGGGAACCACTTGTGAGGTGAGTTTCTGCTGAGGACAGATCAGGCCTTTCGTTTTCTGGACCACGTTCTTCCAGTCTCTCTCCTTAGCATCTGGCATGAAGCACTTCTGCTGAAAGGTCTTTAATATTGGGTTATAAAAGCGATCAGTTACTTGTTTTTAAATATAGAAAGAATTACTTTTAACTTATTAACAGCTCTCTTAGCCAGAGAAGAAAACTGCTGAATGTCTGAATAAATCTGCCCTATTTATCACTTCATGGAGTCTATAATCCTCAGAGAGTGTAAAAAATTTACAAGACATCCCAGAATACTGAATTTTGCATTGATTTGGATCTCACATTTGTTTGAAAGACATCTGAAATCATAACCAGGCAGACACTTTCCTCCTGAGAAAGCCCCAGCAGAAGAACTTTTGTAAAGGACGTAAAATCACCTCAATCTGTAAAATATACTGACAATACTGTGACTTGAGACAGTGGGCAAGAGGGTGTTGGATGACTACCAATGTTAGCTTTCAAATTTCTGGGAATCATTGGGTTTCAAGGGGTGTCTATTCCTGCCAAAAAAAAAAAAAAAAAAAAAAAGGAGAGATGGAGACTAACCCCATACATTATAAGTTTGTGTAGAAGCTATTGTGAGTTTTTACGTATCTCAGAAGTGAGTCCTAAATTTCATGGGTTAATCCTATTTAATTTTAATGGATTTACTAGTACAAGGAACGGCTGAGCAATCAGACCTTTACAAAGCTCCATATATACAGACATTGATCCATTTATGTTCATTTCTTAGCTGTTGCAGCAAATAAGTTTAAGCAATCAAAACTTAAAAATGCTGTTGCTTTATTTCTTACAGATAGGGCAACTTGAAAACCTAAATATAAGAAGAGGTAAAAAATGATGCTGTAGCTGGCACATATTTTAGACAAAAACCTATGAGAAATGTTTATTTTGCTAAGAGAAAAGGAGAAAATTTAAGAAATATTGATTATATTAGTAAGATTAAATCCCTGTTTTATCTGAATGAGCCTGTTAGACGATGATTCCAAATCTTTGGTCACAAGCAAACAATTTAATATCTACAACAGTGGGCTACCTATGCATGTTTTGCATGCATACTATTTATATATAGCAGGTGACATTTTTAAATCATGAAAAGAAAGCAGCTAAGTGAGCAGAATAAAAAGGACTGGAGACAATTTATCAGATAGCTGATATATGTTTCAGCTTATTTCAGACATGAACACATGAGCTTTCTGCTTGTTTCCAAGGCAGAATAAAATTGTATAACTTCAGCAGCATTGATCCTTGCAGAATAGCTTTAAATCTCCCCAATAATTTAGTTGGAAGGTCTGTAAAGCTAGACAGTCAGTCTGGCTTGTCTCTCTTGGTAGGAGGTAGAGGGGATGAAGGCTACAGGATGCTATATGCTGGGAAGAGCCAGTGGGACCATTGCAAATGCTTCTCTTGCCAAAGCCAGAGAAGCAAACCAAACTTAACCATTGGAATAATTTGCTGGCATGCTGCAGGCTTGTTGTGTCAAGGGCAGAAATTAAAGTTTAATCATTAAAACATGGGTGAAGGGGAATTTGTTTCCTCTTTTGTGCACATCTGAATGTCTCTCCAGATCTGGCCCTGGCAGAACTGCCCTAGGCTGGCCTTGGGGAGGCTTCATGCCCACAGGCAGAGGAGAGGCAGCCCCTCTGACCTTGGTTCCCTCCTTGGGAAGCATTACCTGCAGGGAAAGCGGGCACCTGGACTGGCTCCTTCATAATAAACAGAGCTCGTGGATAAACACAGTGCAGACAACTAGCTGTGTGACAATAAAATCAGCTCAGATATTGACACAAGGCAAAGACACCCCTGAGGCAGCACTCACTGCAAACCCATCTCTGAATGAGCAATAGTTAAATGTTTGTCCTTGCCTCTTTCTTTCAAAAGTAGGGCAAATATCTATAGAGTTCCCAGCGGGGAGGTAATCTAACTTTAACTTTCATACAGCCAAGTAAAACACCCGAGACCTGTGTTAGGGATGCAAGCAGGTCGTCTGAATTATGATTATTCAATCTGGTATTATTTTAATCTGGCATGCCTCTCACGTGCTTCATTTAGGTTCATCTTGACCTGAAAACTGCAATCTCAATGCCTTTTATGCCTTTATCTTTACAGGTGATTTACCTTGTTGCAGTGTATTTTTTCTGTTTGTTTTTTCCCCCCTAAATATAAATATTTATTTAAATAGCTCAGCCCTGCCCGTGAGGCAGAACGGCACATTTCATTGTCTCGGGTCTCCCGAGCGTGGTCTGGGTCCCCTTCTAGCAGCAGTCTCTTGCTTTAACTCTCTCTCTTGCTAATTGAGGCAGGGAGATAATGAATTAGGAGCCACGGGAGGTGAGAGCCAACACCTCCCCTGCAGCCGCAGCGTGCTCCGGGTGATGTTTCCTTACTCGTTTACAAGAAAATAGCGGAAAAAAATTAAGGAGGGAGAGAAAATGACTGAACCTTCTGTATGAGATAATGGATGAGCCCGGGATGACCTGTTTTTTTCCTTGCGGTGGAGCGGTGCTGAAGACAGAGGGCACCCGCGCCCAGCCCACAGCCGTCGCCCCGCCGCCAGCGCGCCAGCTCGGGGCGGCCGGAGAGCCGCCAATGCCCGCTCCCAGCAGGCAGGGAGCCACTGCCTCACCCGGCCAGGTACGTCTCAGGGGTGACCCTCCGAGCGAACCGCGGGGCTCAGCCGTGGGACGGCCCGCGGGGCAGGCAGGGCGGGCAGATGGCAGCGGGGAGACGGGGCTGCGGGACTGCCCCCGGCGGGAGCCCGCTCCGGGCGGCTCTGCCCGCCTGCGGGTGCGGACGCGCAGCCAGGACGGCGGCTCCCCTCGGAGCGTCGCCTTCCTCGGGACCGTCTGCAGCCCCCCGCGCCGCTCGGCGGACGCGCAGCCCCGCCGAGCCCGGCACCCCTGCCCGCCGGCGGGGAGGGACGGAGCGGCGGCCAGCGCGGGGCGGTGCGTGCCGCGGCGGGCTCCGAGCGCCGGGAGGGTGTGCGGGTGTGTGAGAGCGTGTGTGCGAGCAGTACGTGTGTGTGTGCCAGCCGCGGTGCGTGTGCATCCGGGGACAGTGCGGCAGCAGCGCCTGGCGGGGGGCAGAAGTTTTGGGGAAGCGCCCCGCAGTGCTGGCGGGCGGCCGAGCCGGCGGTGGCGGGGCCGGAACAGCGGGACACTGGGACACTGGAGCGCCGGGGCAGCGGAGTGTCAGGACAGCGAGACGGGAGGCTGCGGGCAGGGGACCCCGGGACAGGGAGCCACGGAAGGGATGCAGCGGGGCTGGGGCCCGCGGTCCGGCGGCTGCCCCGGCTGCCGGGCGCTGTCTCGGGTGCTGACGGCTCCTCGTGCAACAGGGACGCGGCCCGGCCGCGCTCCGGGGCCGCGGCGGCGGGGGCATCTTCCCTCCAGCACGGCGTTTCAAGCCGCCAAGCCCTGCCACCGGGCTCGCCGCCGCTCCCCGCCCGAAGCATCTCTGCACGGCAGGCGTGCTGGTAAGGCACATCGGGGCTTTGCCCGCGGTTGCCTTAGTAACTAATATGTATTTTTCCCTGCTTTCATATGTGTGTCCCTGACTGGATTACAGTTTTGCCCCCTACACACGGAAAAGTTAATCTAAACTGTAGAGTGGTTTTTTTCTTCTTCTCTTTGCTGACCTTTAAATGACATTTCCCGTGGCTGGCAGGGCAGACTGCTCGCTTTCTCTTTTTGCTTACATTATGGATGGAGAACGGAAATGTCTAAACTGAGAAAGATGCCTTCAGGTAATCAGAACGCAAAGAAAGAAGCACTTGTCACTCTGCTCTCAGGGCCGGGGCCGCTGGGGCCGGGCTAGGGCTCTTCTCTGACAAGCCGCCTACCCACAGAAACTTTTACAACTTCCCGGGGGCAGAGGGTGTGTGTGTTTGCTGGCTGGAGATGTGGAAGTAGTTGCCTTGGCTTGAAATGCAGGTGCAAAAAAAGATTGTAGAAACTCAACATATGTGAGTATGCATGATCGTATGGCAAGGCAAAAAAGTACATTATTTAATCCTTCTTGAAACTTCTTGTTGAGCATCTTATCAAAGCACATTGCCCTGGGCTTTTGAGAAAGCAGACATCTCTAACTGTGCAGGGTTGCTTTATTGAGCTCAGGTTTGACATAGATTTCCTGGTTAGCCCATTTTATCCCCTCTTTCTATGCCACCAGGTTAAAAGTCACTAGGATGACGGCTGTCTTGGCACCTTCAAGAGTGATGCTGTGAGGCTTTGCTGTGATGGTATTTGGAGCAACCTGGCCATTGTCAGGGAGAAGCAGATGCCATTTCCTACACGTCCTTAAACCATGTGCAGGCAAGGGGAGCCCATGAAATTTGTAACCTGGGTCTGGATGACATCGTGCAACAAAATGATTGGTGTGCTGCTGGTCTTTTTCCCTGCTCTGCTGCTGGAGATGGACGTGTTGCCCAAGAGTGGTGGTCGGAAGGTTCTCCTCTCTGCAGCCTCCTCACAGCGGTCGGTGGCTCGGATGGATGGGGATGTCATCATCGGGGCCCTCTTCTCTGTGCATCACCAGCCACCAGCTGAGAAAGTGCCTGAGAGGAAGTGCGGGGAAATCCGGGAACAATACGGCATCCAGAGAGTCGAAGCCATGTTTCACACTTTGGATAAAATTAATGCAGACCCGGTCCTGCTACCTAACATCACCCTGGGCAGTGAGATCCGAGACTCCTGCTGGCACTCCTCCGTGGCCCTGGAGCAGAGCATCGAGTTCATACGGGACTCTCTCATCTCCATCAGGGACGACAGGGATGGAGGCACTCGCTGCATTTCTGACTCGCAGACCCAGCCCCAGACCAGAGTGAAAAAGCCCATCGCAGGGGTCATCGGCCCCGGCTCCAGCTCAGTTGCTATCCAAGTTCAAAATCTGCTCCAGCTCTTTGACATCCCTCAGATCGCCTACTCTGCCACCAGCATCGACCTGAGCGACAAAACGCTGTACAAGTACTTCCTCAGGGTGGTCCCCTCCGACACGCTGCAGGCCAGGGCCATGCTTGACATCGTCAAGCGTTACAACTGGACCTACGTCTCCGCCGTGCACACGGAAGGTGGGTATGGGGCAGTCCCCGCCTTCCCGGGCCGGCCCCGGGGCGCTGTGCCCTCCGCCGCGGCTCCGCAAGGACGCGCCGGTACCGGGTCACCCGCCGGCGCCGGGCCGGGGTGCGGCTCCTCCCCGGGAGAGCGCCGGCCGCTGCCGCCCGCGGGGACCGTGGGGCGAACGGGGAGAAGCGGGGGNNNTGCCTTTCCGGGGGGCGGAGGAGCCCCCCGGCTGCGGGCAGAGGGAGCTGGGGTCAGCGGCGCAGGAACGCCCGCAAGGGATCCGGCGCCTCCCCGGCGGTCCCGGCGCTGTCCCCGTTCGCACACGGAGTGGTTCGCGTGCTTGTAAATAAAAGTTAACAGATGTGAGCTGCTGGATGTGGGACGGGCAGCCTCGCCCCTCCGGCTGGGCCGGGGCAGGTCCGTGGGGCTGGTGCTCTCGGGCGCTGCCATCGCCGGGAGTTTGACAAAACCGGATCAGGGCTCGGCAGGGACTCCAGGATTAGCTGCTGGCTTTGCTGCGTGTGAACCGATTTCCTGGCTCTGCGAATAGTGAGGAAAGGAACCTGAAAATCCCTCCCCTGTCCAGGTAGTTCCTGCAAAGCCAGGTGCCGTGGGAAAGGGCAGGCAGAGGCTCCTGCATCTTGTCTGCAGCTTGAGCAGCAGTCAAAGCTATTGCTCTGTCAACAGGTCTTCTTAATTTTAAATATCAAAAGAAAAAATAGCAATAATAACGTTTTAAAGAGGAGACATTGATTTATAGTCAGGCTAGGTGGACCAACATAAATTGCATGAGTAATTGCATTTGATAGAACATAAACTTGTGATATATTGTTGTGATATTTCTGTAGTCCAGTTGTGGTCCTCAAAATGGGATTTCTAAGCATAAAATTGCAAATCTGACCTCGTTATTGCTATAGCTTTGCAACTATTCTGTTTATCTGAGTGTATCTCTTGTATGGATTTGATTTATGATTCCTTGTGCTTACTGAGCTGACTCCACACCTTTCATTCTCACAGAGATGACTAAGTAAAATGAGGTAAGAACATATATTGTGACAAAAACAACAACAACAAAAAAAATCTCCAGGAAGGGTTACATATTTACAACATTTAGAAGGGAAGTGGATTGATCTGGACACCAAAACCAGAAAATGCTGCAATTTGAGGGACTGGGGGACAAGTGAGAGCATGAAGAAATGACCTGACATTTGCAGTTCATTTATGCCCCGTTCAGATGAGAAAATGAGCTGCTAGCAAGACTCCAAAATGAGCTATTAAGATTCTCCATTGTTGACAGATATGATTAGATCCTGTGGAAGGCCAGGATGACAAATAAGCGTGAAAGGAGTAAATTCTTTGTTGATCTAAATAGCCACCTCTCCCTTCAATGCACTCTGGGGTGCTCTGCTAACTTACTGCGCCTGAGGAGTTGCCTCAAGGGACTGGCTGCCTCTCTGTCCCACTCGTGTTAACATTAGTGGACCTTACCACTTTTGGAAAAGACAACACCCTCTGAAGGTTCATTTTTGAAAAATATCATTATAAGCAGCAACTTCAGTCATTGCTTGTGAGAAATTTTAATTAGATGCCTATTTTTATGAATGTTAGTGATTGATGAAAAATAATTGTTGCTAGATATTTTTAGACTTCTGAAGTGATACTTTTGAAAATAAGGGTAGCCCACAGGGCAACACTCCTCTTAGGAAAGGTCACAACAATTTCACAGATCATGCAGCTTGACATTCAGATTTGCTTTTTTTATTATTATTAATCTGTGTCTGCCATTCATTTATTGTTAAATTAAAGGAAAAAAAATGTCACTGAAATTATGTAACAAGCTTTAACTTTCTCATTTCTTTTCAGACAGACAAGTTATTTACCCCACTCAATTGCTGTTGAGTAGATTCCAAAGACCTTTTTTCCTTCTATTTAAAGTGAAGTTAGTATTCATGAAAATCAGTGTAAATGGTTGCATTTCTGTTGTTTCAAATCCCATGAATTCACTGTATTGTTAAAAGTGAAATCGTTCTTCAAAGACAACACAAAACCACTCTGAATAATAGTCTGAGTAGTGCAGCTCCATCCATGCTATGTTTGGAAATAGGGGGACAAAGTGTAGTCAGAAGCATTCCTCCCCCACAATTACTCATAGGCCTCTACACAGTCTTTATGGTGGGCTGCAAAATGTGCTGGGAGGAATTCTAGGGTATGACTGGTTGGAGGGAGAATCTTTTCAACAGAGACTGTGAGGAAGGGGCATGTTTCTAGGAAATGCACAGGTTGACATTGTGAAGAAGTTAATTCCTTTCCCTTCCAAGATCCAGTTTGGCCCCCTTTCCAGAGCAGGAAAGCTGCTTTCTTCCTACCTGACCTCTGGTTCTCATGGGAATGGACAAGCTTTAGCTCTTGTAGGCGCCCAGCCACAAGGGGATGCAGTGAGACCACTGAGACTGCCTGTGGCAGCAAGCCGCGCTCCTCAGTCCTCACTGACCCAGGGCAGATGGGCCCTTTCCCAGCCTGAATCAGCCAGCTCCTCTGCTTACCCTTCCTCTGCTCCTGCAGCCTACCTGAAGTTGGCTGAATATCCAAACCAGTACCTGGCTACACAATTATAGCTTTAATGATAATAGAAATAAATAGCACACAATTTGCTGCCCAAGTTTCTTAACATGAAGCCTCTACATGCCATAAGAATTAACATAAAGAGGTCATCCACATAGGATGATGTCTTTAAGTGGTTTGCATTTGACATGGAACTTTATCCTTCATGTGCCAATATGATAATTAATTAGTGATGATGACTTTTAACTACACTCAGTCTCCACACTCTGGTACATGAAGCTGCATGGAGATGTGCCAGAGCTGTTGGGGTTTTTTACACTGTCATTTATTAAGAAGAATAAACACTATCTGGGTAAAAACTTCTCAGTCAATAAAATCTGTTTTCAAAGGTTCACATAACACATTGCTCCTTTTAGATTAAAATCTGCTTATAAAAACTTCACACTAAATCTCAGTTAAGCATAGTTGCCCATCATGAGAGTAAATTTTTTCCCAGAGTGGGCAACAGTCATTAAATGCTGTAACAAATCCGTGCATCTGTCAGTGTAAGGCTGTCTGACCATATAGTAATTGCAAAGCATTTTCAAGGCTATTATTTTTTTAAATTTTCTTCAAAGATAATTCAATATTGGAGTTCTTGGCATGTCTAAATCTCAAATTTTAGGCTTGAAAGCCATTCTTATCTTGAAATGCACATAAGTGTATGCTTAACTTTGAGCCAAAGCTTCCTGTGGAAATCAAAGGCATCAAAAAGCACATTGGTTAAAACTGGGCACAATCCTTGTGTGATAAGGGCAGAAGGAGCGACACTTGCCAAGGGTAACTTTCCAAGTGAGATATTCTAGTCTTTAGCAAGATAACCTCAGAGTCAGTTATTCTTAACTTAGACCAGACAGCCACTGGTGCTTTGGTAACACTGTGAAGAATTACAGGGGACACTTCCTTTCCTGGGGAAAAGCCCCCAGGCTGCCCAAGGCAAGAGATAGTGAGCACCACTGCTGTGCTACTTCCATGCTGAAGGCTGAGAAAATTAATTTCTGGGGTTGCCATCAGAAAAAGCAGAGTGGTTATGAGATCGCTGTAGGTTAAACTGACTGGCAAAACCCAGAAGACAACTGCACCCTGGCTAGTGATCAGCATGAAGTCTCCACCAAATCCCTCACTTCTACCTGTTCCTCTTGTACATGGAGCAGGAGAGATGATGGTGTAAGTAGCCCTTTTATCACTTCATCTTTTATCACCTCAGCACCCCACTTCTGAATAAGCTAATAGAAATACCTAGCGCCTGTGCCTGGATTCCATTTCAATCTTGCCTACATGTTAGCCTTATAAAATGTATGTGAGCATTCATTCGAATGCTGCTTGCAGTTTATGGACCATGTTTATGCTTTATTGTACAAATACCCCTTTAAAAACAAGATTTTCATTCCAACAGATTAACATGCAGACTTTGCAGAAGCAACTTTGGAAATAGAATGATTAAGATAATTGCACCAAATTTGGACTGTTTAGAAATTAATTTTAGAGAACAGTGGGATGTTTCTGGTCTTGATTAAATTTTGTCAGATTTGTATTGCCAGGCAATTCCTTTTTCTTGAGTATAAGGGTTAAAATGAACTATGACGAAGCAGATGGCACAATTGTAAAGATTTTCAGATCAAAGTAGATGGTAAATATATTATCTTCACAATGATTTTTGATAACCTGACTGCTGCACACTATCCATTGTACATTAAACTCATAAACATGGTTATATGTGTTGGAAAGAGGATGGAAAGGAGTGAGTCTTGCACTTTATTGCAAATTTCCCAAGAAAATTGTGAACTTTCACAAATTCAGTTCAGTAGAACTAAAGTAGCTTTAGATATGGTAGAAGATATTGATCAAATAGCTCAAAGGAATGATTTCCATAAAATTGTGTTTAATTTCTCGAAGGTGTTTCTGACAAAGTTTTATTATTAATTCTATGGTGTCACTCAATGATAAATAATTTTTGATAAAATTATTGTTAGGCAACAGAATAAGGAATTCCAGTTCAAATGTTTGGAATTCTAGAGAGTGCAAATGTTTCTATAGATACCAACAATTACAAAAATGGTCATAGGTTAAGCTCATGTAGTGATATGAATTGGGCTAAGATGTGTGTTCATAAGTGCATATTTCAGTCTATTTTTATTTTTTGTGTTTAAACTTGCTTCACTAATCATCTTCAGAGGTTTGTGACACAAAAAAAGGGAAAGGCATATATCCCAAGGAAAATAGAAATTAGTTTCAAAACAAGTATCCCTATATTGGATGAATCCCATTAATTGTATTAATTAGAAGGTGCTGGGAGAATAATTTTCATAGATTAACATTGGAAAAATTATGATTGGTGACAAATGCTGTAGAGATCAAGAGAAATTCCTTCTTGAAAATATATTGCTTTGCATTACTCCTAAATTCA